ACCTTAATTTTAGAGCAATGTAATGCAGGTATCTGTTCTCTCTGAGTAATTTTCCCTGAAATATTTCCAATTATTCAGAAAAGTTCTAGGAGGATTGAAATAATATATAGTGTTGGTACCAAATGCATTTTTTATTTTAATTTTTAATGTTGGATATTATTAAGCCTTTAGTATTGCAAGTGAAACAACAGCTAATTGTGCTCTTGTGCAAAAACTAAATCTTTTTTTTTTCTTTTTACCAAGTTTTAACATTTTAATAGGAATTAAGGTTTTCTTAGCAACAGTTATGGCTTAGTGGATAATGTACTAAGAAAATCTGGCAACAACGCTTAACCAGATCTAAATGCCTATAAACGGACTGGGCTAAAACTCAAGCAAAAGCATTTTAACATTTTTTGAAATGTCACGTCGACAATCAGTAGGCCTCAACACTGAAAATGGCAATTGTGCAATTCAGGGACCGCTGGGGACATAATCTTGCTCCCCTCCCCCCCTTTTTTTTAGTTTTCCTCCCTGGACTGGCATCTAGTCTTTGTAACACTGATTTCCTTCCCCCACCCCCGAATGTGCCTCTTATCCAGTGATGTTTCAACCACAAAGAAATGACTAAATTTGAGGAGGGATAACCTACTGAAGCAACTAAATACACGGATTATGAAAATTTGTGGAAAATTAATTTTCAAAGTTCAAGAAAGACCCAAAAAGCTTTCCTGAAATGGTCTTGGGTTTAGAACAAACTTTTAATTTGAAAACAGAAATTTTCCTCCCAGAGAAATTGTTCTTTAAAACTGTCAAGAATAAACAAACAACAACAATTGCTCTCTGGTTCTTGCTTCCCGAGACACTAATGGTTCTTGAGATTGGTCCTGTGGGAGAAAAGAAGCCTTTGCATTTTCTCTGAGTAAGAAGTTTTGGATTTAATGTCACATTTATAATTTTTTCTCTGTCTGATCATGTTATCAATTATGTCCTGAGGCATGTTTTAGCTTCTGTTCTAATTCATTCCCATACTGTTCTGTAGAGACTGTCACTAGTCATCAATTCCTTGAGAGTTTAATTTAATTTTTTTTTTTCTGGCAAGGGGGAGATAGAAGGACGGGATAGCAATTCACATGTTTCATTATGGGTCCCTGCTTTAATATTACTTTATATCAAGCTGATCAAGTGTCATATGATATTTCCATTTGTGTGTGTACAAAAAAGGTCAGGGATAGGACAGAATTAAGATAATTTTTTTGTTGTTGTTTAAATGAGAAAATCCATTCATCTCCCTGTCAGCCAATTTTTTGACTCTGAGGGATTTTCTCTGTGGAGACATTATTCGAAAGCAATGTGGTATATTAAAGCAATGTGGCAAATTGCTTTAGAATAATCCTGCCGGAGTCAGAGACATCCTGGTTTTCCACCCCTTTCCTCCCATCCAGCCTCTGGTCAACTTGGTCTCCTGTGACTTCAGGAGCATCCATTCTCTGAAACCATTTTTTACTTCTGCAGAAAAGTATAATCTAGAGGGAGATTCATTGAAAGGACAAGAAATCTGAAGTCAGATAAATTGGGATTTCCTTGATTTTCTCATGGTTAAAATGAATGTTGGGGAAGAAAAAAGTTTTGTCAACTTCCTTATGCCAAGTACGTGGGGGCCTGCAAATTAAACTACAGGAGAAAAGGCACACAAGTGTTGTTAACAGGTATAGGCACAGAGTTCACAGAAAATATTAGGTTCGTGCAAAAATAATTGCGGGTTGTGGGTTTTGCCATTCTCTTCTCTTCTTTTCTTTTCTTTTTTGAGAGGGACTCTCACTGTGTTTCCCAGGCTGGTGTGCAATGGTGCTCACTGCAAACTTTGCCTCCTGGGTTCAAGTGATTCTCCTGCCTCAACCTCCTGAGTAGCTGGGATTGCAGGCATGCGCCACCATATCTGGCTTATGTTTGAATTTTGAGTGGAGATGGGGTTTTACCATGTTGGCCAGGCTGGTCTTGAACTCTTGTCCTCAGGTAATCAGCCCGCCTCGGCCTCCCAAAGTGCTGTATTACAGGCATGAGCCACCGTGCCCAGTTAGTTTTTGCCATTACTTTCGATGGCAAAAATTTCCAATTAGTTTTGCACCAACCTAAGAAGTGAAACAAGGAAATGATTAGATTTAGGAAACAGTGTTTGGGCTTCCAAGGATCGTACGTTATGGGGGAAGTGACTGGGAAAAATGTGGGGAAACAATGGAAACGAACAACTATTGCAGAAGACAGGAGTTCTTTAGACTCTTCATATGTCGTGACTTTTTTGCATTTTGCTATTTGACTGAAACTATTAGTGATTCATCTTGGTCTAAGAGACAAAACCAACTTGCCAATTGGCATTTAAGAATCCTTTAACAAGGACTGCTCAGGCTTCTCTAACCACAGTCTATAAAAATCCATAGCAGAACCTGGCCTTTGCATGTCATGATGATCCTGCAACCTAAGTTCCAGTCTGTCTTCAATGATGAAGTCAAGGTTTGCTGACCATCCACTCTGACTGGCCCAGAACATGCACATTTTATACCTGTTGTCTCAGCATACTTATTGAGTATCCTGTCTTTTATTCAAAAGTATCTCAGCTTGGAAGAGATGATATGTCATCCTCCTTATGAATCTTTCCCGTCCATCCCAAACTGCAATGGCTATTTCCTTCTCCTGAAATCCTTAGAGATGTCGGTCTACAGTACTGCTTTAGCATGTAGCACAGACTGTGATTACAATGTGCCCAGCACATGCCAGGTACCTTAATACACTGTCTATATAATCTATTCAACCTGTTTTTTCAGATAAGCAATAAAAGACACAAAGAGCAATTTAGAATCATTTCTTGTCCATTGCCTCAGAGACAGTAACAGCAGGACTTTGATTTAAATATAGAGCCATCTGTCTCCAAAGCTATGCTTGCTTCACCACGCTGAGTGACCAACTTGTTCCAGTTTTCCTGGGACTGTCTCAGTTCTAACACTGAAAATCCCTCATTCCAGGAACCCCTTGGTCCCCTGCAAATGGGGAGGAAGTGTTGTTCGCCCTACCTTGACATCATCAAGGCCTCAGCTGACTTGAACATAAAATAGATATTCCTATTGTACAGCCTAATTGTGTCATAAATAAGCTTTGGGCAAGAGGGCTCTAGACCTTTCTTCCATTTAATCCTCAGAGGCTAGCACAGTGACCTACTAAAATGTCACTTTGCTTTCTCCCTCATGTTATTTCATGAGTAGGTTTTGCTTCTACAGTTAACTTGTAATCCTATTTGGGAAACAAATTACGTTTTTTCTCCTTTGCCTCTCGTGCTGCCCAGCCCTGTGTTTGACCTGCAGGGATTCAATCAATGTGTGGTTGCTGAGTAAGCAAGCTGAGTCCTCTTTGTCTAAACATATGGTTTTTAATGGTTGCCTGTTAAAGCCTGCTTCAGTGCTGGAAAAAGTCCTTTCACTGCGCCACTCTTGATCTCTTAAAAAACATCTTTCAGCACAAATGGGCTACCACATTCAGCATAGCTACTGAGGACACATATCCGTCTTTGAGGAGCGCCCCTTTCCAATACACTTCTGGTTTAAATGCCCATAATCATTCTGTTTCCCTCAGCCTTCTGGTATTTCATCCAAGAGAAATCACCTTTTAGTTTTCATTCTAACTTAAACAAATGTGAGAATGTAAAGAGAGACTGAATTACTTTCGAGGCTTAAATTTCAGAATTCACGAAGAGTTTGAAGGCTTAAAGAAGTACTTAATTAACGTTCATGTTTTTTATTTTTTTGCAAGCTGCCACATCCAAAATCCCAAAAACATCTCTTGATGGTACTTGTTTTCTATACTAAGACTGAAGGCTGCTCTAGCACAAATGATTTTCTTCTAAAATGATACATACTAGCTAAGATAGTTTTTTCCTTTCTCCACAAGTCCCATCCAGGGATAAGTATGATCCCCGTCTTTCATAAAGTCTCGGGCCTGGGTGCCAGGGAGCTTCTAATGTACGGTTCTGGAATTACAATAGATGCCCCTATTTTTTACTCTATCTGTTGCAGTCCCTTATTGCATCAGTTACTGCAGGACAGGAGGTCAAGAGGTAGCCTCGGTCAACATCTGTAGGGTCATTTGCTTTTTGAGAACTTTATTTTCCTTTATACAGTTCATTGCTGACTCCCCAGGGGTTTTGAATTTATAATACAAGCCCATCTACACCTCATCAGAAATTACTGATTTCAGAGATTGCTGAAGAATACAACCATATCAAAGAAAGAACGTTTATTTTGTAAGCTAATCTTTAAAATATTGCTGAAAGGTGGGGTGTGGTAACTCATGCCTGTAATCCCAGTGTGAGAGGCTGAAGTGGGAGGATCACTTGAGCCTAGGAATTTGAAACCAGCCTGGGCAATATGGCAAGACCCCATCTCTACAAAAAAATCTTTAATAGTTATCTGGGCATGGTGCTGCACATCTGTAGTCCCATCTATTTAGAAGGCTGAGGCAGGAAGATAACTTGAGCCCGGGAAATCGAGGTTGCAGTGATCTGTGATTGCACCACTGCACTGTAGCCTGGGCGATAGAGAGAAACTTTGTTTAAAAAAATTACTGAAAGATGGTGAGATCAGCAATTGTCTAACTATACAAACTCTGCCTATGAGTTGAAATAATCCTCTTGTTCCCTTCAAAGGGAGGTGGACAAAACTATTAACTTTCTCTTGTCCTTACGTCCCTTCACCTATCTTTCTAAAATTTTTATTATGTGCTTTAATGTGTGGGCTGGAATCAATAGAGGACAAGCTATTAAAAATTATTGGTCAGGCTGTGGCTCCTCACTAAATATTAAAGCAGCGTGGCAAATTAGCACATTTCTCCAGGCACTAGGCCTGAGAGAAATAATGGTCTAGGCAAATAGACACTATAATACACGTAGAAAATACTGCCAATGTGTTGCTCTGGGTTTCTTTTGGCTGCTGTGTTTCACCATTAATATTATTCTGTTTTTTTGCTTTTAGTAGTGTGAGGAGATGGAGGGCAAGCATTAACTGTTGGAAGGATTTCTTTTAAGGATGCATTATATCAAGAGCTAGATATCAGAGCCAGTTGGGAGAAATAGGAAACGGGTGTAGAAACAGGTGAGTGGAATGTTGCTTATTACACCTCTGGATTAAGTGCCCGGGAGGAGTGGGCAATTTTTCAGGATGCTGTGTGCGTTGTATTCTTGGAGGATTATAGACAACATGTTCATGCAAATTATATGAAGAAGACTGGCACCTGTAAAACCAAGACAGAGGTGGGCCACATAGGCAGAGAGTTTTCTCAAGTGAATGAAGAAAAAAGCACTCAGTGAGGCTGATTCTGTGGTTATATATTTGAGCTAGAAGATTCAGGAGGGAGAATCAGTTCTAAGACACAGATGGAGACATCAGTAAGATCGGGAAATACTCAGACATCAGAAGAATTTGGGTTTGAGTCAGAATGCCTTTACCTACCATTTCTGCTCTTTCTAAGTTTCAAGTTAAGCAACAAGTCAGTGTTTCAAATCTTATTATTGATAAACAAAAAAACTGAACAATTTATTCCTTATACTCTTCTGATTATGAAAAGTTAAGAATGAAATGTATCTCTTGGGTTCCCCATGTGTACAATGAGGAGTTTATAGTTTGTCATTCTGTCTGCAATCCGGCAACGCCCAAGTTTTGCTAACCTAATCTGGGGTGCAGAAGCAAATAATACATTTGGTACCATGTATTGTATTCAAGAAGAATTTTTCACGTTTGTATTTGTATAACCTGTAAATACAACCTGTATAACCTGTTTTTTTTGTTTGTTTGTTTTTTTTTTTTTTTTTTTTTTTTGAGACAGAGTCTGGCTCTGCTGCCAGGCACCAGGCTGGAGTGCAGTGGCGCGATCTCGGCTCACTGCACCCTCCGCCTCCCACATTCAGGCTATTCTCCTGCCTCAGCCTCCCTAGTAGCTGGGACTACAGGCCTGTATCACCACACCCAGCTAATTTTTTTTGTATTTTTAGTACAGATAGGGTTTCACTATGTTGGCCAGGATGGTCTCGATCCCTTGACCTCATGATCCTCCCATCTCGGCCTCCCAAAGTGCTGGGATTACAGGCGTGAGCCATCGCGCCAGGTTTTTTTTTTTTTTTTTTTTTTTTTGAGACGGAGTTTTGCTCTTGTTACACAGGCTGGAGTGCAATGGCAACATCTCAGCTCACCGCAACCTCCACCTCCTGGGTTCAAGCAATTCTCCTGCCTCAGCCTCCTGAGTAGCTGGGACTACAGGCACGCACCACCACACCTAGCTAATTTTTGCATTTTTAGTAGAGATGGGGTTTCACCGTGTTGAGCAGGATGGTCTCGATCTCTTGACCTCGTGATCCACCCGCCTCGGCCTCCCAAAGTACTGGGATTATAGGTGTGAGCCACCACGCCTGGCCCCACCTGCTAACCATATTTATAAAAACTATCGAGATAACACTGTTGAGCTCATTCACCGTTTACGTGCTGCTCCTCAGTTGGAGTTTCTAAACTTTGTTCACTTTCAGGTCAAATGAATTACGTTAAGTTTTTCTTATGAAGTTGTGTGACGGAGACTGTCTTTATTTACTTTTGCGCATGAACAATAATTTGGCAGCACAAATTGACTCATGGCATTTCCTCTCAGCAGCTTCATATGCATTGCTCTGTTATCATCTGGCCTCACATATGGCAGATGAGTGCTCTCAGAACAACCTAACTTTTTCCTGTTTGTATTTTGGGTTCTGTTTTATCTTTGAAGCAAAGCTTTCCTATAGAGTATAGATACTTTTCTCTTATAGTATAAGCATCAAACAATGGGTACCAGAATGTTCCAGAAAAGCATACATACTTTATCATGAAAAGGAAGGATGATGAAGACGGATGGTCACACATACAGCTGGGTAGAAGGAAGTCTAGCATTTAGCTGCACAATGATGGACTCACCAAGTATCCCACAAAGGAAGTTGACAACCCAGATTAGCCCCCCTACCTCCTGATAGATAAATCTTCTGGATGATTCCGTTGATTATAGTGAGAAGGTAATGATACACAGTGAAAAATAGTGATGTACAATAAAGTAATTATAAAACTAAGGTCAGACATCCTGTAACAAGATAATATGGACATTTGGGCATAAAGGGGAAATGCTGGGACTGGAGTTTAAGGTGGAAAAGAGGTAGGAGGGAGGAGGAACTGTATTGCTTTTGCTGCATTAGCCAGATTCTCTACTTTGACATTATATCTTCCAGATCTATTAAGAGGTAAGAGCTTTTAGCTGGAAGTTCTTCTTCTTCTTTTTTTAAAATTGACTCTGATATTTTTGCACTGAGGACCTATAATCGTCTCAAGATTGGATTTTATTTTCTTAATAAATTATTCCCAAACGTGTATTATTTCACTGAGTCTTCTTATTGCTATGTTAATCAGACTAGATGATTGTAACAAATTATAATTATTGTTTCTGCAGTAACAAACGACTCCCAAATCTGAGTGGCTTATAACAAGCAAGGTTTGCTTCTTCTGCCTACCACAGTCAAATGGGAGCCCTGCATCTTTTCTCCTTTTCTGTAACTTATGTAGGAAGAGCAATCCCCATGCCTGTACCCGTGGCAGAGTCAAAGAGAGGCTCTGGCAAACCATGCACTGCCTCTTAGAGTCCTCACTCAAAAGTGACCTGAGCCACTCATCCCATTTCATTGTTTTAAGTGAGTCACATGCCCCAAACTAATTTTAATTTCAGAGGTGCAGTGTGGTGTGATCCTATTAAGGTGTCTGAAGGGAACAGAAACAGAAATATCAGGTGAACCAAGCAAATGACTACCATTGTGTGTTGTTTCTTGTTCTTTCTCTTGCTGTTCAAAATATTTTTTAGACTTTATATATATTTTGTTGTTGTTGTTTGAGACAGAGTCTCACTCTGTCGCCCAGGCTGGAGTGCAGTGATACAACCTCAGCTCACTGCAACCTCTGCCTTCCAGGTTCAAGTGATTCTCCTGCTTCAGACTCCTGAGTAGCTAGGATTACGGTGTGCACATCATGCCTGGCTAATTTGTTTTTGTATTTTTAGTAGAGATAGTGTTTTACCATATTGGCCAGGCTGGTCTTGAACTCCTGGCCTCAAGTGATCCACCTGCCTCAGCCTCCCAAAGTGCTGGGATTACAGGTGTGAGCCACTGTGCCCAGCCTCTAGGTCATTTTTTTTTTTTTTTTTTGAGATGGAGTTTCGCTCTTCTTACCCAGGCTGGAGTGCAATGGCGCGATCTCGGCTCACCGCAACCTCCGCCTCCTGGGCTTCAGGCAATTCTCCTGCCTCAGCCTCCTGAGTAGCTGGGATTACAGGCACGGCACCACCATGCCCAGCTAATTTTTTTGTATTTTTAGTAGAGACGGGGTTTCACTATGTTGACCAGGATGGTCTCGATCTCTCGACCTCGTGATCCACCCGCCTCGGCCTCCCAAAGTGCTGGGATTACAGGCTTGAGCCACTGCGCCCGGCCCATTTTTTTTTTAAATAACTTTTTCCTCCCCTAAACATAGAAAGGCTCTAACCAGGCCTAGTTCTAACAATGCCAAGTTATTAGATTGTATTCTTTTATAACACTATTGATCCGTGTCACAAAAATGTTACTGAGCACTGATTCTAGGCACTGGAAAAAAAGACATTAAAATGAATTTGGCAAGGATAAATGTAAAACACTGCATACCTTGCACAAATATGGAAGGGGTTATAGTTTTATGGGTTGTTTTGATGATGAGCTCATTGGGGGCTAATAAAGTGTTAGTGCTGCTAAATTTTTAAAAAAGCAAATATAATGCCAGGTTGTATTAACAGCAGCATTGTCCAGGTCAAGTGTATAGTGGCACTACTGCAGAGCCCCCCACAAGTCTGACCACTTCTGGAATATTATGGATTTTTATAGCATGTGAGAATTCTGGGAGATACAATTCAAGTTGAGGTTTGGGTGGGGTCACAGCCAAACCATATCAAATAACTAAAGGATAGTAGGCATAATCCCTGGGTAATGAAATAATCTATACAACAAACCTCCAAGATGGATATGAAATATGACTGATCCAGATTGAGGTGTGCAGTAGGTATGAAACACGCACTGGGTTTTGAAGACTTCCTATGAAAAAAAATTGTAAAATATTTTCATAATCAAAACACAATAACATTTTTTATATTTTGCATTCTATTTAATATGTTATTAAAATTAATTTTACCTGTTTCTTTTTACTTGTAAAAAGATGGTTACTAGAACATTTTAAATTATGTGTGCAGGTTGCATTGTATTTCCACTGGACAGTGTTGATGTAATTTTTCATTATTCATATCTTTCTAGAAGCTTCAAAACTTATGTTTCATATGTGTGCATTTGTTTTAGATTAAAAGTTAGTTACTAAGAGGGAGTCATTAAAGAATTATTCTTGGACCAGGCATGGTGGCTCATGCCTGTAATCCCAGCACTTTGGGAGGCCAAGGCATGCAGATCACCTGAGGTCAGGAGTTCAAGACCAGCCTGTCCAACATGGTGAAACCCCATCTTTACTAAAAATACAAAAAATTAGCTGGGGGTGGTGGCAGGCACGTGTAATCTCAGCTACTCGGGAGGCTGAGGTAGGAGAATTGCTTGAACCCAGGAGGTGGAGGTTGCAATGAGCCGAGATCATGCCAACTCTGTCCAAAAGAAAAAAACAATGATTCTTTCCTAGTCCCAATTAAATACTGGGGTTGACTTCCAAGGAAAATATAACCCATTTGTGTTGAATTAAAAGAAAAGCAAGCTCCAAAATACAGGAGCCTGTTCTGCACAACTGGAAAAGGGGTTTATGCAGAAACGCAGAGGAAGGTGGGGTAAAAAAACAAGTCTGTTGAAAGGGTACATGTTAGAGGAGTATAGTCCTCAGCCTTGCGAATGTGCCAGCAAGTCCTGGTCCTGGTAAGGTGGGGTAAAGACAAGATCCACCACTCTTACTTCATCCTTTTCGGTCTCTACTTGGTAAAGTGTATATACTTCTTGTAATTCTTATGATGATACTATTGAAGTTTTTAGGGGAGCTGTGGAACTGAGAAAAAGCAAATGAATTGTCTGTGGCGAAAG